CCCACCATAGAAGCAATTCTACAAACATTAATTTCATCCCAGCATTGAAGAGGAAGGTTAGGCATACGGATCCAAATTGGGGCTATAAGCCCTTTGAAGGAATTAGGAGAGAAGGAGGCAGTCCATCTGTCCATACCAACAATATTGCCGTTGACATACCAAGGACCAGAAGTAAAAACTCCCTCAGCCGATTCCTGTTCTTCAAATGCACATAGTACCCATCCTAACCCCAGTTGGGTTAAATGAAACTTACCAAATTTTGTCCATTGCTTCCTTAACTCAATACTAATAATATTGAAAGGAATATTGTTACCAAAGACTTTAATAACCAAAGCCTTTTGAAGTCTGTTGGAATTCTCTAATTCCTTCTCCTCATGAAGCTTAACCACCCCTTCTTTCCGGAAATTCTCTCCAAAATTAAGATCAGAAACCTTGATGTTTGCCTTCTTTATCCACGCATTAGACTCAGAAGGACTATCAATTTTGCTGGGTCGCTCTCTAACTTCCTTCTGAATGCTGCAATTCCCAAGTTCTCCTCCTTCACAATTACGAACCTTCAAGAGATCTGAGCTTTGAAGACTAACTTCATCAGTATTTTTACTCCTATTCAGATCCTCAGAAATCTGGATCGCCTGCAGTAATTCTTTCCTGCCAATATCTTTTTCTGAAGGGACTAAATCACAAGAAGTTGGCGTGCATTTATCAAACTCAAGGGATTTACTCAAATTCATAATCTTGTCAGAAAATTTATCAATTACTTTCAAATTTTCCTCCATCAAGATTCCCTTTCCTTTTCCTTCATAATCTTGAACTTTCTTTTTCAACAGTAAACCTCCTTCATTGATGATAAATGGCCGTTCTTTGGATAAATAGAATTTTTTATCATTTTCAAAACCAGAGTCTCCAAAAGCCGGAGGCGACGAACCAGTTTGTCGTACAAACTTACGAGAAGATGGAGGATGAGGTGGACGGTGGATGACTGGAGCATCAGTCGCCGCTGATCGGCGATCCTCCATCGCCTACAACGATCGGCGGAAACCCCGCAAACCAAATTTCAAAAAACTCCCAGGCGTTCTCTCTCTAACGTTCTCTCTCTAACGAGGCATTACTTGTTGGATTTATTTTGAACTATTGAATCTCAGTATTTACACGTGATTGTGACGAAAGAAAAAAAATGCAAATTGTGTTGTCAATTTCAATATTCAAGTAAGAATTTTAATAGTAGAGATAGGAGAATGATAGTCTTATAAAAAGCCACGATTTCAACGTTAATTGCCCTATAAAGTAAATATTGTCTTCGTTTAATAGATTGCAATTTTTTGTAGCTGCCATTACTTCGGAGGTTATCATTGGATCTATGCGACGCAGTCCAAGGTGGATTTGACAGCCCAAGTGTAAGCAATCCTCAACCATAGATTTATTATTGCTTTTATCTCCGATTTTTATGGAATTTATGCATTACCATTTGCTCTTGATTCAGCATTCTGAAAGGTTTTATTTGAGTACTGTGAAGATATGTCGATGCAAGGCACAAAGGTGTGCATTTAAGCTTGAGAAGTTAGGGGGATTCAATCCAGAGCACAAGGAGACCATAGTTCTCGAATATACCAGCAAGCAGCTCCGGACAACTGTGGTTAGAGAAAGAATATAGCTAGAGGACAAGATTTAGGCTTCATTTGGGACGGCTTTCTTAGTGTTTTCTAAAGCGACTTTTTAGTTAAAAATTTTTAATTTTTGTATTAGAAAGCAGCTTTAAGAAGCTGTTAAAAAGCCATCCCAAACGGAGCCCTAATGCTTGATGCTATTTTAATTAGGTGGTTAGGTTTATATCCTTCGGTCGTCGTGTACTGTATTTATAATTTAACTGGAAAACTGTTGAGGTTCATTTGGTATTGTTGTTGTTTTACATATAATAACTTCAACAAAAATAGGTTCCTGAGCTGTACTTAAATTTAGGCTTAGATAATATTATGATTCATGATCGTGCTTTCGATCAATTAATAATTCAGAAATCTACCTGTACCATTCCTGTAAACCTTCAAGGATTTTAGCCAAGTGAAAACAACTGTTTCTATGCCTTTTTTTTTTTTTTTTTGAAAATAGACTTATATTTTTATAAATAAAAAATATAAAATAAATATATTATAGAAAATTAAAATAAAAAATAAAAATAATTAACCAAAGTAAAATATATTGTAACATTGAAATTGTTACTTCTCAAGCCAATGGGTTGAAATTGTGTTCGAATGATTGAAAAGCTTCAAAAGTTTGGCCTATAAATCATTGGTGTGCAAGCGGCTTGTGAATGCATCTGTGGGGACCAATTCTATGCTCTTAATTTTTCTGAGACCTTAATTGGCTTTAATATGTAATTTATTTAAGTTTTATTTTGGCTTGATTATCTGTTTGTTGTACATTATGGGTATCAGGGATTGTCTTCTACTTTGTGATTTTGTCTCATCACAATCAGGATTAACAGATACTGAACTTTTTCTGGCTACCTTGAATGTCTATTCTATCTAAACTTTGATGACTACTTCAACATTTGGAGTTAGTTTGAGCTCTTCTTCGGATTTTAATTTTTGCTCTTTATTTTGATATAAATGTAATATTCTTAATTTACTCTTATATTTTGTTTTTGAGTTTTCTTTTTTAAGAAATGTTTAGCTTGTTTAATCAAAATTTATTAATGAATAAGTTGGGCATGACCCTTAGTTTTTTTATTAAAAAAAGCCTCTTTGTCCTATGGCCTTCTTCTTTAGAAGGTTAGGAGGGCATTTGGATCATAAAATAGGCAATCAGAAACTCATCACTTGAGGTCGTTTAGGTCTAAATGTTTAATTGGTTGTTAATTTATTATGGTATAATCAAATATGGACCATGGAATTAAAGGTAATCTAAATATTATGGTGCCGGAGGATTTTTATAAATAATGTTGTATCAATTGTTCTCTAAATGAATGAGCGTAGTAGTAAAAAAGAACTAAGCCTTTCATACCAAGATCTAAGAGAATGCTTCCAACCATATAAGGATTTTCTCATCATGTACTTATGATTAGGATATATTGAGCTTCCAAACTTAGTTGGTTGTTTAACATATTGATCTTCTTTTATTATACAATTTAATAAGATATTCTTAATATCAATTTGATAGAACTTGAAACATCTAAATCATGTGAAGGCAAGAAGTATCTTTATAGGTTCTTGATAGGCTATTGGTGCAAAAGTTTTCTCAAAATCAGTTCCTTTAATTTGATTGGATCTTTTTTTTGTAACTAGTCTTATCTTATTTCTGACAATTAATCCATAGTCATTAAATTTAATTACCATTTAATTCCAATTTCACTATAATCAGATGATATAAGCACTACTTCTCACACATTATTAAGGGAGAATTAATTCAATTCTTCTTGTATTGTCTTGACCCAAAATTAATCTATCAAAATATATTGAACTCTAGTGGCGACGGTGAGGCTAACTTACTATCTAAGTGCATTTCTAATTCTAATGCTAACATAAGGATCTCCTATTATTTGATCTTTAGGATGAATGGATGCATACTTCAATTTTCTAGATGGTATTTATAGTTCTTTATTGAGTATATCCAATTTTTCAATGTTGGGTTGCTCTTCCTCCACTAGTTATACTATTCGAAGCTGACTATAAACACCAAACTTATCAAATGTGACATTTCCTCAACTATTTAAGCTCTTTTAATGAACACCCTATATAATTTCTCAACTAATGAATACCCCAACAATATAGACTCAATTAATTTAGCATCAAACTTACCTAGACTTGTCTATATTATTCAATATGAAACAATTGTCACCAGAAATATTTAGATATAATAGATTCACAGTTTTACCATTAAGTAGTTCATTCATAGTTTTATTTAGATTAGGGTAAACATTTATTATATTCAATAAATAACATGCAGTACTGACAACCGCATTCCAAAATTTCTTAAGTCGCATATATTCAGTGAGTATATAATAGGAGGGTTCTCTCAATATCCTATTTCTTCTTTTTGACACTCCAATCTGTTGAGACGTTCTATGTAAAAATGAGTTTTAACTAATACCTAACTTCTTACAAACTTTAGAAATTAACATTCTCAAATTCTCCTTCATGATCATTATGGATTGAAAATACTAAACAATTAGCCCTTCTTCGAATTCATGTAGTAGACAATTTAAGCTCAAATAAATGAGTCACTCTTACATTTTAAGAATGTTACCAAGGTAGATCTTATGTAATCATCCTCAATGATAAAAAAACATAAGATTAACCTCATAGAATAACTATTGATTGGGTAAAACAATCCATATGTAAGATTTGTAATGGTTTAGATGTGATAATCTTTTAATTAGTTAAAATGATGGATTGACCTATTTCTTAAGCTAATAAGTATCACATAACTGGTCATTAGTAAATTCTAGCTTGGTGTCCTTCTAACCAGATTTAGGAGAATGGTCTTCTTAAGTGTATGCATCTTGGTGTGATATATATAGTCTTCTATGCCAAAATCAATCTAGTGCTATTTTCTAACAATGGATATCTTTAAGCACTTAAACACTTAGTATTAAACATATAAATATAGAATCGATAAGTATGTGTTTAAGGAAAATTTTATATCAAACTCTATATCTTATAGTTGACTGATAGATAATAAGTTATAATTAAGATTATTGACTAAGAAAATCTTGTCAATAGCAAAGTAATCAATCTTATCAGCCTGACCAAATCTGTGAGTAGACCTAAAGCAATTAACCCAAGGCTAATCAAAGAGGGGCGTGAATTGTTTATTTTAAAAAACCTCTTAAAAATTTTATAGAAAATTGTTTTATATTTTTGGCTCAATGAAAGTTTTAACAAAATAAAAACTTTTCAACCACAAATTAAAATTTTAGAAAAATAAAAATGCGATAAAATAAAAACACATAAATTTATACTGGTTAAGCCTAACTAGACTTACGTCCATTCTCTGAAGTCTCGCTCTTCATGTATTGCATTATTACTAAAGTGACTATCCTTTTGCTCTCACAACATAGTAGAGAAGCCATTTATAATTAACCTCTATTTCACCAATCCTCGGTGCGGCAGAGTATCATCATTTTTTCACACTCTCCAAGTGTTAACAAAGAACCGTCATCTATTCACACTCTCCTGGTGTCGGTAGAACACTGTCATCCTTTTACATCCTTCAGGTGTCGGCAGCATATTGGATCTTCTTCAAAGATCTTCTCTTGAGCAACTTCAAAGAATTAAGGAAGAGATATGACAACACTTAGAAAGAGATCCTCACCTTTGGGCAACCTTGTGAACCCTTCACAAATTCTACTTGTAACATCTCTTTCCACACTCTCAAACACTCTCCTAAAGCACTCTCACACCTATTCTCAAAGAAAAAAATGAAGAAGGATTCTTTACACAGTCAGTTTTTAGGACCTTATATATGAAAGACACAAAAAATCATCCAAAAAACTAAAAATTTAAATTTGATCGTCCATGATTGTACAGTATGATTGCAAATTGTATGTACGATCTGTTAAAAAATTACTTGTATGATCATGTACGAATTGGTTTCATGCTCTGATTGTCATACGTATGAACTCAAATTCTACAGTACGATCAGCTTAAAATTGAACAGATTCATCCACTATGATTATATATGAAACATTTTCATACTCTGGATATCGTACAGTATTAATCCCATGTCGTACAGTATAAACGGGTTTAACCCAATCATGCTTTATTTAGTATGAAAATAGATGAGTCCATTTCGTACTCTAGATGTCGTCTGTACGAACCCAAAATTGTACAAACGAATAACTCAAAAAATTCACTTAATTGTATGGACGAAAAGATACATGCTCATTTCGTACTCTGGACGTCTATACGACCCAAGTTCATATAGTATGAATAGTTCAAAAAATTCACCTATTCGTATGGCTGAAAAGATGCATGCTCATTTCATATTCTGGACGTCGCCTATATGAATCTAAGTAGGGTTGTCAATATTCGACACGACTCAAAACATGACCCAAAAATGACACGGAAAAATCCATATTCGAGTCGACTCGGGTAGCAAACGGGTAATGTTCGGGTTAAAGAAACTGACCTGATTTGGATTTCGGGTCATATTTGAGTCAACCCGAAAACCAGAAGATGACTCGATTTCAACCCATAAAATTTGGCTCGGCTGCTCGAGTTCGTCGCTTTGCCCAATAGCCCGAATAAATGGAACCACATAATTATGTTAATGGGTCAAGGCATCATTGCGTCAAGCCTTAAATTATCCCATTCCGTCATTTCGGTGTAAAACTTCGAGTTCGCTCTACATGTTGGAGACTGGAGAGTGGAGGCCCTTGCCCCAGTCGCACTAGTTTTCCACCTTTCCTCTTCCTTATCTGTGATTTAGCGGTTATTGTTTGATCAATTTCACAAGAATCACAGGTGATGAATTCAAAATTTAAGTCTTCTTCTCCCCTTGAAATCTCATTCTCTCCCTATGTCGTTATATATCAAGAACCGGAACTTCCTTTTGATCTTTTTGATATAATGTTTTGATAGGATTATTGCTTGGTAAATGGCAAGATTTTTCTCTTTATTATGAGTTTCTCTTTTCTCAAGCAGAAACCCTAGGTGATGCCGTGAAGATTTCATGATTAGCAAACCCTAGAGTTGATTTATCACTTATTTCCTTTATTCCTTACTGATTTTCAATATTATATTTATGTTTGATTACATTATTAATAATATTTAAGTTTAACCCAAATCCCTTTCACCCTTTGTCGCTCTGTTCATGTTCATCGTCTGTTCGTCATCATCGTTGTTTTGTAATTGATTTTAGGCTTTTTAGCTTTATTTAAGACTTTAAGTTATTTCTTGTAGTTGGGTTGTGGCTGTGGACTGATTTTTAATTAATCTTAGGCTTTTAGCTGTAGGTTGTAGCTATGTGTTGTGCCCCTGTGGTCCTGGGAAGTTTGGAGTCACGTGTGGTCCTTTAGGCTGTAGCCTTGGGCTTTTAGCTTAAACATTTAAATGTTATTTAATATTAATGTTATTATTATCAATTTGTCATAGTTTTTTATATATAGTTGTTGTTGGAGGGTGGAGGCATGTATTACAGTATTAATTTGTGTGTTTGTGATTGAATAATTATTTATAATTTATATGATGTTGTTGTTGAATAGATGGAGGATTCTAACACAGTGGTAGAAAGTTCTCCATTCATTGAGAATGTGGAAGTGGGAAATGCTCCTATTTCAGTTGACATTGAAAAAGACAATGATGATTTGTATAATATTATTGAAAAAGAAGGAGATGACCCATCATCCACTAAGAAAAGATGAAGAATGTGTTCAACGATTTGGGGTTATTATGAGATGTTACCCCTTCCTAGTGATGGCAAGCAGAGATGTAAATGTAAAATATGTGGGGCAATATATCAGTGTGATAGCAAGTATGGAACTGGCCATTTAAGACGTCATATACAAAATTGTAAAAAAAGAGACACTCGTGATATTGGGCAACTTATTCTACAATCAAATGCTGCTTTTACTATCTCTATGACTGAATCTACATTTGACATTCATGAGTTTCTTGAGTTATTCACTTCTTACAAAAGCATGCATGATCTTCCTTTTCAGTGTGTTGAATGGTCTAGTCTTCGTTCTTTGTTGAAATATCTCCGTCGTGATCTCCAAATAGTATCTAATAACACTGCAAGAAGTGATTGCAAGAAAATATTTACTAAAGAGAAATGCCTTCTTCAAAAGGATATTTTAAAAAGTAATAATAGAGTTTCTAAACAGAAAGTGATAGTTATCATGAGTTGGTTAATACTATTTCAACTAGGTGGCATTTGCGTTAGCTAAATGCCTAAATTCAAGAGCAGATACTTTATTAATTCATTGATACTACATTAAGTCATTAAGTTTAATGCAAATTGTTTCCTTGGATGGTAATAGTTAGAAAAATCAAATATGTTCGAGACTAAAAACTGGCTAAATGTGTTGGAGACTTCGAGGGTTTACTTGAGCTAATCAAATAAAGCTTTCTAGTTATACAACTATGCAATCTCAATATCTCATTATTTGGAATTTTATCATTTCTATTTATTTATTACTTTTCAGTTTTTAGCTTTTAGTGTTTGTTGTTTAACCATTTTTATTTTGTTGTTAACTCAAGTTGAAAACAGGTTCAACAATCTAGATGAAGTGTTGGCAGTTGGCACTTGGCGTGTAGCAAGTATAAGAATAAAGAAATATAATTTGAGTTTTTTTATAAACTATTTAGTTTGTACTTTGTAGATTGTAATTTATAATAAATGACTAAATGCTAAATGTAAATTTCCAAATTATATTTTTAATAGTTTGACTGTTTGGCGTTATTGTTATGTTGTTTAAGTTTAATTACTCTTTTGCTGCTAATTAAATTACTATTTTAGTTTTATTATTGTTTCAGTTTGACTCTGATTTTAACAAATTTTTAAAATCTTCATGGATTTAATATTTACCATGTCGGGTCGTGTTGACCTGAACCTGATCCGGGTCAAGTTCAGATCTACAGAATTGACCCGAAACCTATTTTGGGTCGTGTCAGATACAGTCAGGTCAAATTTGGGTCTGACCCGAACACGACCCGCCGACACGAATTGCCAGCCCTAAATCTAAGTTTGTATAGTAAGAACAATACTTAAAAAATTTTCTAGGCATGATTTGATTAACTACTTTCTAGAGGAACACTCATGTTAAACTGTCTCGTACGATTGAAAATCATACACTATGATTAGTTTTAAAAAAGTTATAAATTTTTACACTCCCCCCGTGTATGTGTGCACGATTACCCAATTACAATGATACTTTTTCAAACTCAAGAAAAATTATAAAAAGTATATACTTCAAATACAATAAACCATATTCTAATCTGACTTGAGTCTTCATCGGTCTAGAGTATGATCTCCCTGAAACGTTAGTATACACAAACAACAAAAGCAATATTTTTAATATATGTTAGGAGAAAACAGTAATCATAATAAGAATATTTTGAAATCATCAAAACACACATGATATGAAAATATAATTATGAAAACTAAGTTGTAATAATCTCCCCCTTTTTTATGATAACAAAATAATTATTATTTGAGTTAATATATAAAATAATTTTTCTCCTTAGGTCCCCTTAAATGAATGACCAATTTAAAACAACGGGTATCCAAAAAGATGAACAAAACAAAAAATAAAAACTTCTAAAATCAAACAACTCGAACAAAAAGATGAATTGAATAAAAACATGAACACAAATATTCAATTTAACCATTCAAAACATACACACATTACATCACACACAAATCATGAACACACAATTACAATACAATATATACATACATATAACACACATATAACATGTACATACACATAACGCACATACATCAATCATCAAATAATATTACGACTCTCTCTTTTGACAAAAACAAAAATGAAAGTACACCTTGAAATGAAAGATTTCAATAGATAAACCAAAAGAGTTGATGAAGGAAAGGATTTTAAACTAATTGCAAATATAATATTAACTTCAAAATACGAAAAAGAAAAGTTTCAAATTTTAAATCAAAGAATAACTAAGATAAAAAAAGTCAACCATGTTCATTGTTCATGCTAAAAAAATTAAATAAAAATGATTATTTCAAAAATGATAAAATAAATATTTGTTAACTTCAAATTCAATAGTGAATATAATTGTTAATTAGATTGATTTGGATTAGAGAATGAATGATAAAGGAAAGAACATAATAAAGGTTTTCAATTGGTGATATTGCACATTTTTTCAAATATTTGTGGCACATTTTATGCTTCTTTTCTATTTGGGCTAATTTTATGTCTCTTTTCACATTGCGAATAATTATGCATCTTTTCTAATTTTGCATGCTTTGTGCATTTCTCCTTCTTTTTTTTTTAACTTTTTGGATCTTTCCAATTTTAGTAATCTAAGATTAAATTCCATTAATGACAAAAATAGACATATTGAAAAAGAAAATAAATAATAATAAGATATGAATCTTGTAATAATTATAGTTTAGATGTGTTTATCTATAAGAGCATGAAATTGATCTCCTTGTCTACATTCGGTCATAATTTAATTTAAACTTTTGAAATATTAAATTTTGTAAAGAAATTAATTTGTAGAGTAATATAATTGAGAAACTATTCCAATGATCAACTACAAAAGATTTGTCTATTAAAAATATAAATATTTCAAGAGATACAATTCAATGCAAGTGAACAAAATATTTTAACATTTTATTAATATCAAGAGCACACACAAACATATATTTCAAAACATATCATCTCAATATAACATCTCACATCATATAATGACAACATTATCACAATATAAGAAAACACTAAACTCAAGAAAATACATCACAACAGCAAACAAAAAAACTCATCAGCAACAACGAAAAGAATTACACCTAGAAGTCAGAGGGGCCTCGGTCTGTTAAACATAGAAACGTAACTATTCATCAAAGCTACATTTATGTTAACTGAGTCAAACTACCTCGGGTACAACCCATATCTTCGTGATATATTGCATCCTACTGATTAAGGAAATTCTCAATTTGATCAAAGCATTAATCAAAAAGAGTTTTCAATCTATCAAAGCGCTAAACCATTTCTTGGTAGAAATTGTGGTCAGGTCTAGGTGTAGGTGCTGGTGCTGGTTCCCCCCTTCTTCCTCTAAATCATCATTCTCAGATTCTCCCAAAAAGTGCCCAAGTAGAGGCATCAGTATAGTATATGGGTAGTTCAGTGGGAGGTTCAGGGTGGACAAGATGGTACTTCTTATCTAGGATGTAAGAAATTAAATGTCCTAAAGTGACACTTTTCTTTCGCTTATGATGTGGAAATCCAATTTTAGAAAGATTATAAATGTAGTCCATAATGAGTTAGGCTTCATCAAAGGCCTTTTCAGTCATAATCAGATAGGTAATTAGAAATAAAAGTGGAGTTATATTTATGTGATCACTAACCTTAGGAATAATTAACATTCTCAAAGCATGTTGGATGATCCGGGCATTTTGATTTAGAGTGTAAACCTTAGACAAATGACTCATTTGGGCTACACCTTTAAGAGTTTGATTTATTTCAAACCAATCAAAATCTACTCTAGAGGTGAGTGTGTGGGCTCTAATCCCTTAGGTTCTCAAGTGAAGGAAGTTGCCTAGATCTTCCTTGGTAATCTCTACTTATTATTTATGTACATAGGATGTAATCATGGAGTGGTCTTAATTTACTCTTATGTTGGCCAAAAAGATATGAAATATTTCTTTATGGTAAGCATATATGAGAGTTAGAATAAAAGAAAGTTAAATAGAGACGAATAAGGACATGACAGAGAAATGAATGCCACCCTGTATGAGAAGTCTAGAAGGGGTGATTTTTTGCATCACCACATTACAAGAAATTCAAGAATTATCGGTAGTTTTTTCTGGCAGTTACAATATTTTATTTGGTATTTTACTAAAATACTGGCAATTATTTTATGGTTAGTAAACCGCTAGTATAAACTTTGTAGGAAATGATTTACAATGGTCAATTTATGGAGGTTAACATTACTGGCAGCTTTTCGGGAGCATAAATGGTCGATAAATTCTGACATTCATAGTGCCGGTTATCGCCGGTTAATCATCGGCAGCTTACTGGTCATCCAAAATGTCAGTTTTATCGGTGACATAACCGACGGTAAACCGTTAATTTTTATCGACTACTATATTAAAATTTTGGCAGTTATAATAAGTTGTCTGATATTGATATTTCTAACGGCCAAACAAACCGTTGGCCGTTGGAAACCTGTGGCATTTTTAAAAAAAATTGATATCCCCCTCTATTTACTCAAATTTCTACAATACCTATACATAATTCAAAACATAAATAATAAATAAGGGCAAACGCCACTATACTCAACCAATAACTATAATCCAAAATCAATATATACAATAATAAAATGAAATCCATAATAAGCATAACCAAATGTTAAAACAAACAAAAATGCATATGTTCTACAATAAATATAACATATATTCCACAATTAGATGTCCATGTCCTCCGTGTACTCATTTTCACACAACAAGCTCAACAAACCAATTGTTTAAACAAAAAGTTCATCAAATAAATAAGAGCACTAATCATCCTTTGTGTCATCGATGCCTTATGTTTCATGTGTCAGATCTTTCTCTTTCTCCTTTTGATTTTCATCTCTATAGGATCACAGCTCTGCCTGCATCTCATTTTAAAC